GGGGAGGGAAGGAGAGGGGGGAAGGGGAAGGGGGATAACAGAAGAAAGGGTAGGGAGAGATAGAGAGAGCTCTGGAGAGAGAGAAGAGGGTTGTAAGGAGTTGATAGGGGCTTGTTTGGTATGGGCGTTTTCCTTCTCCTGTTCTTTTTTCCTTTTCCTTTCCGTTCGAGGTCGCTGTTTCCTGTCAAAACGTTTTTCTCAAAAGTACATCAGCGTTGGGATAAAACAATCAAATAGTCCAGAATTACAAAACAAAAAAAAAAACAAGAAAAACCGACAATGTAGATCCGATCCAATGGAGGCATGCACGGGTATTGAGGGATGACAGTCATCAATAAATTCAGAAATTGCGTAAATTTGGAAAAGAAAAACGAAGGCTCCACATTAACACCTGTGAATGGAAGGAGAACTGTCGTAGAGATATCGAAAGATGCTTTTTTTTTTTTTGGGGGGGGGGGGGGGGGGGGGGAGATGGGGAAGGTATCGAAAGGAACTCGTTCCAGCGGAGCGGCATCGAACGGATCGTTTTTCCTTTTTTTTTTTGGCACCATCATAATTATGTCTAGCAGAAGATAGGGTGGGCGCACAGGCGAGGATTGAAGCTCGACCAAAGAGAACTAACCAATCACGGGCCTCGCTGCAGTTCTCAGCAAATAAGTAAAATGGAGAATGCATCTTCAGGCAGAACGCGGATAGTTACGTCCGGGTTTTTTTTCTTCTTTTGGACCATTTCTCGATTTATGAGTGTCATCCTTGCGCAGTGGTCATGCTAATCTTCTCTGTACCTTTCCAATTTTGGGCAAGTGGTGGAGCGAGGCCGCCAGAGAAGGATAAAAGAGATGCGTCGTTCTCCTGCAACAATCGCACAGACTCGCTAAGGTCCTCGCTCCACTGCACAAGGTCGTGAATGTATCTAGAAGTAATGATCGTCCCAATTCATTCCAATTGTTGCATCAGTTCGAGTGAATGTCGTCAACATTCTGTCCACACACATGCAGAGTGTTGTGTGAGGCCCCCAACTCTTCTCGTACACTCCTCGCTCCATACAAGAGATACGTCGTTCTCTTTGCACAGACTGGCTGAGGTACTCGCTCCAGTGCACAAGCTCGTGAACGTATGTAGAGCTAACGATCGTCCAGATTCATTCCACATTTTATATCAGTCCGAATGCATGTCGTCAACAATCCTGTCCAGACACATGTAAAATGTTGTGCGACGTCCCCAAGTCTTTCTCGTACCCTCCCAGACCCCCAAAGACCGGGTATTTCATAAATTTGGAATGGCCTGAAGCGATCCATCGAAGTCCCAAAAAGACCGCACGGCGGGCATCGCACGCACACAAGCCGCGATAATGGCAGTGCGTTGTATTCTGGGGAAGACGGTAAGCGCTACTACCGTCTTTCCCCGAACACAACACACCCCGGTGATGAATGTATTCAAGTTATCTTTCCGACCCGGTACAGCCACAACGAGGGTGCGTTGCGCTACTACCGTCTTTCCCCGAACACAACGTACTCTGGTGATGAATGCATACAAGCTATCCTTCCGACCCGGTACAGCCATAATGAGGGTGCGTTGTATTCGGGGGAAGACGGTAGCTTCCGCCACAACTGACCTCAGAGCCATAAATGCATCAAGCATAGGTTTCGCGTCGGATACAATCGCGATGCTGCCTGTACCTTCTATTCGGCGGACCCAGCCGGTACCGTGTCAACGACAATATTTCTTCGGGCATTTGCCCCTCTCAGTTAGTACTTTTTCTTTTGCTCTCCTCTTAATTTACGATACTCTTTCTTGAGACGTCTGCCGTTCAAGTTGCAAACATTAGTCATTGATTGTTGATATTATTTATTGACGATTATGGAGATAATAACGATTACGTCAATCACCCACACCAACAACTTTCGTGTAGGTACACGATCTAAACACTCCGTCTAGAATTTGATTTGCGCTGTTTTGTTTGATTTGCTGCTGAGCCTGGCTCTTTTTTTTCCCCCCTTTTCAGTTTTTTGCTCACCGGGGACAGCTGAGTCCGGCTCTTTTGCGTTTTTTCCTTTATAGTTTTATGCTCACCGGGGGGCAGCTGAGTCCGGGTCTTGATGGGGAGTGCACATCATTACCCGTCTTTCCCCGAACATAGCAACATACCCACCCTCATCATGGACGTATGCACGCCATCTTTCCGCTCCGATACAGTCATGACGAGGCTGGGAAGACGGCAGTGTTCCTCTCCTGTGTTCTTGTGTGACAGAGTTTACAGAGAGAGGGATCCGTTAACCACTCCCCGTCCAACCACTCACATCCACGTAGATGCACACAACTCTGCAATTCAGAAGGATTGAGCGACGTTCTTCGTTTTCTTCCTATTGACCTTTCATTCTTGCTGTTTGGCTCTTCTACCCCTTCGCTCTCCCTTGTCCACTTTTAGTTCATACTACTCTGACAGTGCATATTACTCTGACAATCAATCTATCTATCTATCTATCTATCTATCTAGTCATCTTGTCATCTGTCTATCTATCTCCCTATCGATCTTATCTAGCTAGCTAGCTACCTGCCTACCTACCTAACCATCTAGCTAGCTAGCTGTGACAGTGATTACAAGGACACAACGCACCCTCACCCATCATGCCTGACCGGAACGATTGCCTGCATGCTTCGATGATGAGGAGGCGTTGTGTTTATGGTCTGCTCTGGGATAATAAGAACTGTGGAAAGGGACCGGGGAAGGGAGGAGGAGGGGGGGGGGGGGGGGGGATGCGCGTGGTGTTGATGTAATCCACGTGTCGGTTTGCCGGGCATTGGATCTGGTCAGGCCTTACCGTCGGCAGCACCTCCGACAGAGTCCCCTGCCCGCTCTTCACGCCGAGGCGACGAGACCGCCGAAGCCGACATGATTACCCTTCTTCTCCTCCCCTCGACCGCGCCAATCACTTTCCCGCCATTTCTGCCGCCGTCCCTTCCGTCTCCCGCCATTCCCAACTCGTGACGACGATGAGCAGAGGAGCCAGTGGCGACGTGCTCATCTTCATCCGCCATGGCCGACGACACGTGGCAATTCCTCCGGTGACGCTGATGCCGATGTCGATGCAGCGCGCCGAGCCCGTCATGGTGAAGGCCATCATCGGCGCGTTGCAAGCGATCATGCCGGCCGCGACTCCGCCTGCTGCCGCTGCTGCTGCTGCTGCTGCTCCCCTCCCGTTCGCCGCTCGCCAGTGGCCAACCAACATGCACAGTCACCGCGTGAGAATGACAGTCCCCGCCGCCGCTGCTGCTGCTGTTGGTGCTTACGTGGCTCTTGCTTCGACACGTTCCGACCGTTGACACTCGGTTTGACGGACAGCGCAGATTAACTGTTCTTAACGACGACCCCGTGCACTTATTGAGCGCGACGCCTGTCGCCAGCCCCTGCCGCCCGGCGGCAGCTGCAGCAACAGCAGCTGCAACGGCGGCACTCATGACTGTCATCCTCGCGTCTCACACGTGGCCGTTGATTGATTACACTAAGGGGAATCCTCTTAACTAATCAAGTCAGGCCGCACCACGTGTCCACTCGCAAGCCACCTGTCAGTTTCCCGCCAAGTAACAACAAGCGCGGCCGAGAAAATAAGCACGACCGCAAAGACGAGGTTGCAATGTACGGTGTAAGCTACCAAAACCAGCTTTCACTTGGAGGGTGCCCCCTCTCCCGTCCTCTCTCTCTCTCTCTCCCCCTTCCTTCTTTCCTTGCCTCCTCCCTTCCCCTCCGCCCCCTGAAGCCGGTTTCCCAGTCCAGCCGAGATGACGTCACCAATGTTTCCGTTCGGCAGTGGCAAGGATAACAGCGATGGCGGGGACAGCTCCGTGACCGACCATACCACACCAAGGAACCGCGGGGGGGACGGGCGGGGGCGCTAGATTTTTTTCCTGGCGGCGATCCCTCACCCCACATCTGCCCCATCTGAACGATATTCTGAATCGCTACCCCTCCAGCCCGGGGGGGCTGATTGTCGGATTCTGTCGAGTCGAGTCGCCACCGAGGCGCCTCTTCCCCCCAATACAAAGCGCGGTCATTTGGCCTCATTTAGCCCACGTTTCAAGTCGCGTTCAGGTGCCACTCCAATGGCATATTCCGTTCTTGTTCTAGCGGAAAGCCTCGGACCATGGCGAGCATGGTCATCAACGTGAGCGCGATCGTTATCGACGCATTGGGCGAGAGTTTCAGGCCAAATACAGGTGGAGAGAACTCTCGGACCGTCGAGGCCAAGCCCACTGACTGTTAGACCACGCCAGGCGTGGTGGCGCAGCCAGGGCCAGAGGTTATTGTCTTTCGAAAAGCCGCAGCTGTGTGGTGCGCAACTGCAGGGGAGGGGGCGTTCCCGACTTCCCCCGAACCTTCTTCTTTTGTTTCAACGAAGCGGAGGAAGGTGGCGTTCAAGTGTAGGCCCAGGGGAAAAGGGGGCTCCTGACACCACCGGGCGTTCCAAAACTCGCTTTTTTTGTGGACATGTCAGGGTTTAAACTTTCCCTCTCAGTCTCTGCATTTTCCGTACCCCTTATCGATGACCTAAGAAAGAGTTTGGGAATTCTGATCCTGAAAGAGGGTTGCTAAAATGGCATGTTTGATCCAGCGGCCTAGCTCAGTTGGTAAGGCATGCAAGTGGCATTCAGGAGGTCTTGGGTTCAATCCCCATTGGCGTCATGCACCTTCCTGGGCAAGCTTGGCGCCCGCCACCTAGAGATATGCCGTTGGT